GAGACTGGGGTTTAAAGAAAAATGCGGTAATTTGCCAAAGAGCCCGGGGCCGGCCGAGTCTGGCTGCAGACCCAATTATGCCTTTTCCCCTACAGAACCACACTACTTCCTACAGATAAAGGGACAGAGTTCGGGGAAACCAACGTTAACTGTAATGTTCAGGGCATGTGGTTATTTTGCTCAGCTGCTTCAGATTAAACAGAGAGGCAGTTTCAATTCTTCCTGTTGAAAACTTCTTCAAAACTTATTAGTCCATTTCCCTCCCTTAAGTTTTTATTTATATTCCTTCCAACTCGGTCCAGAAAGAATTTGGGGCAGCTTCTTCAGTTAATGAAACAAACACAGAATCACGGAATTTTATTTTATTTATTTATTTTTTTTTTATTTGAGAGAGAGAGAATGAGAGACAGGGAGCATGAGAGGGAGGAGCAGACTCCCTGCCGAGCAGGGAGCCCGATGCGGGACTCGATCCCGGGACTCCAGGATCATGACCCGAGCCGAAGGCAGTCGCTTAACTGACTGAGCCACCCAGGCGCCCCAGAATCACGGAATTTTAAAACTAAGCACAACACACATTTTACACAGAAGGAAACTCATTTATGTAAAGTGACATATCTAAAATTAGTTAACTGACAGGGCCTAAAATACAGATTCAAGATTCCTAGTTCCATATGCCTTCCTTATTAAAAGGAAATCTTCCACAGCAGATTGTCCCAGTGTTTTCTGGGTTCTCATGATGAAGACTGATGCTCATTATGGGTGTAAAAGTAGACAGGACACACAAATGAGTTAAATATTTATGTCCTAAACCTAAAGCATTCAAATGGCGGCTTTAAAATAAAATTAATCCTTGATGTGCTTGTTTCATTGCTATTCACCTTCTTCCCCCTAAAAGTCATAATCCGAAAAAGACCCAATACTGAAATCTCCGCTTATTTCTTCATCTGTAAAATGGGGTTCATCATAGCATAGACCTGTGGAGGATTAAATAAGCTAATAACTACTCCTTACCCAAACATATTGCTTCACTTCATTGGATGCCTACATTATGGGGTGGGGGGGAGATACAGAAAAGGTCAATCAACAAACTGACCAAAATGGAACCAGGATTTTATTAGCCTCCATCCACATTTTTTTCTCTCTTACAGACACACACAGTTTTCCTATTCAAACCATTACCACCAGCACTTCAGTGTTTGGGAAGTTCTCTATCTCCAGTCTCTCCTCCCAAAATACACGGGTAACCCAGATCTACAACAGTGATGAACCAAAATTATTTGCCACATGTTAAGACTATAAATTACAATTGACCTTTCACTCAAATGGTTAATACCATAACCCGTATAACATATATATAATATATATACATATGGCTAAAATATATCAGACCTTGAATCTCACCTGACTTCACAAGGTATTGCGAGACTCAATTAAATCATACAATGTGGTGAAAGAGGTCTGTAAGCTGTAAGGTGTTACCCACTGTAATTATTACCTGACTTTGCAGAATTAACTACAACAGGTCATCCTCCTCCTCCCACCCATCTTTTTCTCCCTCCTCCAAACCTTTCAAAATATCTTGAGTCTCCCTCTTGCCCTCTCTCCCCACCCAAACAGCTCCATCCATCATCTCTAAAATGATGACCCTGTCCCCAAACAGGACTGTTTGATGAGGCCAACTGGCTGCCAAGAATACCAACCTGGAAACCCTGTCGCTGGGGAAATTTACTCCAGTTTCAAAGTATTACCGCATCATGGGAAATAAGGACAGAAAATGGTAAAAGGGAAAGACAGAGTAAAGGCAAGGAGGAGGAAGAGGATGCCAGAGCAGCCTCAGTCTGGTAACTCAGAGAGTTAGGTCAATAAAGTGTATTAGAATGTATGATACGATGAGATTAAAAAAAAAAAAAACCCACTCTAAAAAAATAGGTTGATCTGCGTGGGACACGTAATTATTCTCACTTTGGGGTCTTTAAAAAATTCACCACACCAGCAGCTAATAAAGAACACAATTATATTCAATGACATCTGATGGCTTCTCCACAGCACGTTTGGCCCTTGTCTTGGCATAGCTCTCCCTCAGTCCAAATCCTCCTCAAAACCCGCTCTCCATCTACCCCTTCCATGATGACCACCCCAGAAATAAAGTCACCTGGAATGCAAGACCTAGAAAGGGGAAACATCAGAGGCTTAAAGCATCATCTACCCTCACTCCATATTGCAGTTAATATTTTCATTTAAATTTAAGGCATACTGAACAAATACTATGGTTACCTCAAGGTCACTCTGCAATTCTCAGTTAGGATTAACCAACTCAGGAGTCTAAGGCAAAATCTGCTCCTTTTCCTTGCCTGGTCTTACTGCAAAACATTTCTCCTTTCTCCCTTAACTTATACCCTACAATGTGCATTTGTATATTCCATACAGACCAGTATTTTCTATCATTTCATAAATTCTACACTCACTCTTGTACAAGAGTTAAACTATTTCTCTGGCCCTAAGGTCCTTTTCTTCCTCTGACATTCAACAACTGCTTTTTTAATTTCCTAAATTTTCAAAACACTGTTAATTAGCACATACCAAATTAACATACTAACAAGTTATATTTTTACACTTTTCATTTCCTGATTTGTCTTTTTCCTGTTGAATCACACTATTTGATTACAAGTAATTCTTAGGCTTCCTCTCAACTTGAACTCAATTATTTACGTTACAAAAATTAATTTCTATTTTGCTCAATTTTAAAGTAATGATTAAACGACTCTTTATCAATCCAATTTACAACATGAGTTTTTAGTTATTCCAAGAGTTTTCTCGGCAAAAAAGTCAATTCTTCAGTGCTTCAAAGAAATAGTTTCTTAGCACTATAAAAAGTTAAGGTGTGTGCGGTTATTAATCCAAATTCTTAAGATTTGCTTAGAGAAGAGGAAACAACTCAAAATACAAATGGCTGCAAAAATTCAGAGCTGTCCCGAGAGAATGAAGATTGTCCGAGATACCAAATCAAGACCTACAGATAATAAAGAAGTCAAAATTTCAAGTCCTGTCACCTTCCCTTGAGACTCCTGTTTATTTCAGTACTGAAAACAACTTGCTCTGGATTGCTGAAATGTTTACATAAGTTCACTAATACTAAATCACTTTAAAAAGTTAAAAGCATTATATAAATTAAAAGGCATTAGCATAGTAAAAAAAAAAAAATCCATCATGGTGGGAAGAGAAAGAATACACCTGTTCCCTAAAATTAATGAAAAGTCATATGGTGACAGATGGTAGCTACACTTATCTGGTGAGCACTGTGTAATGCAGAGAATTGTCCAATCACTATGTTGTACACCTGAAATTAATGTAACACTGTATGTCAACTATGCCTCAACTAAAAAGAAAAAAGTCTGAGGCCTATCTCCCTTGCTCCTCACCATCAAAAAAATTATTAAACAGATACCTACCCTGCATTTGCTGATACCCTAGCAACAACCTACTTTAAGTCAGGAGTGTAATACACTAAAAGGTCATACTGTAGTTCAGTTTGGAAAAGTGAGAATCCTCCACAGGGCTAAGAAGATTAAAAAAAAAAATCCTACATTCTGATCAGTTCATTAATAAACAGAGAAGACGACTACCTTAGTAGAGTACATGATTAATTTCACTGCTGGTACTTTATTAGTACAGTATGTGTTCTAACTGTTGCTCAAGATTTGTAGGGGATAGATATTTTACATGAATCAAAAATTATAACTGAAATAGAAGTAAGGGATTCAGATCCAAACAGAAAGTAAAATTTTTGATATACTCAGGCACACCTCAGTCTTTAAAAAAACAAAAAACAAAAAACCAGTAAAGCACAAAGCAAGTTAGTGTCATAATGTCAGGTACAGGAGTGGTTTCCCATCTTGCTATGAAACCTAGCCTGGACACAGAGGAATCCTGCCTTATAAATGAAATCCCTGATGACATCAAATGACAGCAACGCTCTCAAGAAAAGGACAGTGAACCAGGATCCCTTGTAAAGTCAAACACTTCTCGATCGAGCACACCTGAAATAATCTGAAGCAAAAAATTCAGTTAATTACCTCTAGCCTGGGGCTAGAGCAACTATCTCCACGGCCTCCTTCCCCAACAACTACCCTAAATGTCACTCAGAGAAAATACTTCCAAACTTTTTCTCAATAAAAATGGCGCTGCTTTTCCCATCACAATACTGTTTATTTCTCAACAATCCTCAGGCCTTTCACACAAACTCAACTGGCCTTTATCTCAATACCCCCCCTTACCTAAACAGTGTCCCATATTTTTTTGAGGCGTGGGAGAGAGGGGTAAGGTGCCTTCTTCCAACTACGAGGTTGCAACTTTCTCAGCTAGAAACCCTGGGATTATTATCTCACTTGGACTTTTCTTCCTAACCTCTCTGCCTTCCCCGCAAACTGTTGCCTGTTAAACAAGCCACACTTCAAAGCCACTGTCCCAAGGTGCAGGTCGTAGCGCCCTAAGCTGACCTCCCCCACGCCACGCTCGCGAGTCCAGTGCACTCTCCACTGAGGTACATCCATCCTGCTTCCCCGTGGGGCACTCGATGCCACGCGCGCAGGGCACAGACACCCCGGCTTCGCCAAAGCACAGCCTTTCTACACCGTCTACACCGTGCCCACACGCACTGCAAGCGGCTCCGGGACTCCGGATCGCCGAGTGCCCGGCGCACGCACGACCCGGGTCGGGGAGCTGCCGTGGCGGGCAGCAGGGCCAGGCATGCACGCGCGCACGTCGGTGCCCGGAGCCCCCCCGGGCGGCACGGGCACGGCCAGGATGGGGGCTGGGTGGGCACGCTGGGGAGGGGCGGCGGGCGCGAGATGGCGCGCGCACAATAACAGGCGGGTCGCCCCCTCCCCTCAAGGGGCGGCCCCCGCCGCAGCCCGTGCCCCGAGTCCCGGCTCCCGCGCGGATGGCACACGGCCGGGGAGGGGGCGGCGAGGGCGCGACGCCAGCAGGGCCGCCTCGCGTACCTGGTCGATGGGCAGCTGCACGGCGTTGCTGAGGGGCTGCAGCAGGGTGGAGCCCGTGGTGCTGGTGGTGGCCATGGCCGGCCTGGCACTCCGCCCGCCGCGCTCCGGCCGCCCGCGCCGCTCGCCCGCGCGCCGTGCCGGGCGACGCCGAGGATGGGGATGCAGCCGGCGCGCCTGCCCCCTGGCCGCCCGCGGTGTGAGCGGCGCGGGGCGGGGCCAGGGAGGGGCCGGGGGCGGGGACCGGCTCGGCCCTGCCCCGGCGCCCCCGCCCGCGCCCGCGCGCCCGCGCCCCCGCCCGCGCCCGCGCCCGCGCCCCCGGCCGCCCGCGCCCGCGCCCGCCCCGCCCCCTGACTTCCAGCAGCTTCCAGCGCCCCCTCCCCACCTCGCGCGCCCTCGCGCCAGACAGCCCCGCCGCCCAATCGCGGCGCGGCGCCTCGACGCCCGCAGCCAATCAGAGGGCGCCGGCCGCGCCGCGCCCCACCCCTACCTCAGGCCTCGGCGAGGGGGCGAGGGACGCCGCGCGGAGGCGAAGGGGCGTACGCGGGTGGCCCTGCGCGGTGCGGGCGTGGGAGTTTCGCCCTGTCACCCCATCTTCGTCCTTCCCGACAGTCGGCGGACAGCCACCGTTCTCTAGGAGGAACCCTGGACAACAAAGGGGAACGGGGTGGCCTCCAAAGGGGCGACGTGAGGGTCGCCGTCGAGCCAGCTCTGGGGGAAGCTGGGAACAAAGCCGGGCGGCTGGGGGGAGGAGGGCCACGAGCCAAAATGTGACCTGGATAAGATGTCCCTTTGTCCCGTGTGGAAAGCCCAGACTTGAAGCCAGCCGCAGTCGTGTGTGCCTCCCAGTCGCCGCCAAGTCCCCAGGGCCCTCCGGGGGTGAGGGACCCCGGTGCAGCTGGCCCCGGGGCCCGAGTCTCTTCCCGCCTGGACCGCCCTTGGTGGCCAAGGACCCGCGGACCGAAGGAACGGGAGTCCGAGCCACGCCCCGCAGACGCCGTCTCCCCCAGTCCCCCCTGGGGTGCTCTTTCCACACACCTTGGATCGCCGGCTGGTCGGTGTGTGATAAGACGTCTGATGTATCTGCCCAGACTTCGTGAAAGCGAACCATTTGAGTTCCTTAAAAATGCAAGTGTCAACTTTCGTGTGGAAGACTTCGAAAGGATTCTTGGAGGAGAGTATCGGGAAAGCGCAAAATGCAACGATTTAACAATCTGAAATTTGGGGTAGAAACAGCTAATGGTTAGTGAGAGTTCAACTACAGGTTAAACACTTTGCTTTGAATGCTTTGAAGGCTAAATTTAGAGGTACCGATGTCCACAGCAAACCATGGGACATAAGTACTAGTACCACCCTCAGATCGAATTGAGTCACAGAGAAGTTCAGTAAGTTCCCAAAAGAGCACAGCTAATAAATAGCAGAGAAAGGATTGAGGTAATCTACTTTCAGAGTTTATCTTTTAAACACTAGGCCCTCTTCTTCCTCACCCTGAAACCCAGTCCAGAAATTCTCATAAGCTCTCAGGTGCTCCACTTACTAGATTACTACCTAGTCTTGGATGATGAGACAGCACAGATAGGAATATACGCGCCTCTGCAAATCCCCTGGACCTCAGTTGTCTCGCTGAAAAGGAGGCAGTTGAACTAATAGGTTCAATCCCTTCCTGCCTGACGTTCTTTGGTTGTTGGGCTAGCTTAATCCTGACAACCAAATTGATTAAAGGACAGAAGGAAAAAGCAAAATGCCAGGGCCTTTATTCTCCCTGGGGTAGTGTTCCAATGGGGGTTGTAATCAATTAGAGAACAGACCTGTTCAATGGGCTGCTCATTAAAATATATTATACCAATAATATGGAGCTCTCTATTAATATAATGTTAGAAAATATTCTTTTCCTTTTCTCCGCTGTGGGGAATCATACAAAAAGCATACAGGTGTCTGGGCATACAAACTGATGGAAAAATTAATACACCATTTTAAAAACTCGAAAGGTGGGTGTTGGGAACATATTGCATAGAGATACAGTCTCCGGTCTAGAACAGGTAATGTCTACAAAAAGGAGTTTCCTTAGACTGAATTTTGGGGTGACCACATATCTACAATAGGGAGGATTTTAGCCATCGGGAAAATTTGGCTGCGTCAGAGTTGTGAAGCTATCGGTAAAATATAGTATAATATTAATACTTAGATTTTAGAGTCAGACCTAGGTTTTCGGCTGTGTCTGCTTTTGATTAGCTGCAAAATTTTGGGCTACTTAACCTTTCTAAGCCTCAGATTCCTCATGTATAAAAATGAGGATAATAATAGCACCAAAACCATGGGTTATGAGGTTATAAAAGCTTATCTAAATGAAGAGTTCAGAGCTGCGCCTGTTGTGTGGTAAAACTTAAGAAATGTTAATTACCATCTATGAAATGTAATTCTGAATATGGAAACTATTTTTTCTCATATTAAAAATACTCTACCTTCATGTTTTTAATGAAGAAACTGAGGCCCATATTTTGAGCTAATAACTCAGTGATGATAGCAAAAACTTGATGCAGGCCTTCTGCCCAGTATCTGCTAATTAGGCTACAAGCTCTTAAACTGTGATGAAGGGGGAAAGAATTGAACTAATTACATATAATGCCTCACTATCCTACCTCAGATAACATCCGTCCTATAAGAGTGATTCTCACATTCTTAATTCTTAAAAAGAAAAATTACTGAGTACTTGCTATGTTCATGAACTTTGTGGGGTGCTATAATCAAAAGAACAATCATACAAAACAGAATGAAGTGCTATAGGAAAAGTACCAAATAAGGTCCTTTTTCTAATATTAAAATCAAAAGAACACATCCGAGAGAAAGAGACTTGACTAGAAGTTAAAAGACCCAAATTTCAGTCCTGACTTTTCCTCTAAATAACTGTGAACTTGAGAAATCTGCTTAACTTTTCTGTGCCTTAAGTTTCTCATATCCAGTTAAGCTGGATAATAGAACTTCGTCCTACCTTACAGGAATATTCTGACTATGAACGTGAAATTGACAATAGGCTAAGTTATTTTTAAGATATTAGTAGTATTAGTGTTAGAAATAATAATTCGTAGGGAAGAGGTTTCCATATAGCAACCACCTTTGAACAAGAGTTACTTAGACCAAATTATAAGAGCACCTAGCAGAGTTCACATATAATAAAATGACTGTCTACCTTGCTCTCTCCTCCTAAAATGGCTATGGTAATTAAAGATTGCTAAAATGAAACTTATTTTTAACTTTGAATAAACCACTCAGAAGAAATGAATAATCTGCCAAGCTGCTTTTGTTCCATAAAAATGGTATGTGTCATGAAAGGAGAGTTCTTAGGCAATTCTCCCTAGTCTAAGCTCTTATATCTTAGAATAACTTATATCTTAGAATATAAGAATAACTTATAACTTAGAGGACGAAGGGCATTGGACCATACACATAGTAAAAGCCCCAAGTTAATTGATTGGCATCTTCAAGCACTTACAAGCTAACCCTAACAGAACAAAAACTGAAATTCAGGAAGTCACCCTTTAAGACCTAACATGCTTCAATTAGGACATCACAAAGTACACCGAACAAGAGGTAACAAACACAGGAAATGGTAAAGGTAGGAGATCTTCACTGAAGTCCTGGCTCAGCTGATTTCTGGCTCTGCCACTTACGAGGCCTATAACAACGAATAAGTCGCTTCGGTTTCGTTTGAGTACACGTTAGGAGATTTAGAAACTAAATAATTTCGCAGGTGCCTTCTTTGCCTAAAATTATATGATTCCTGGGACACCTGGGTGTCTCAGTCAGCTAAGCGTCTGCCTTCGGCTCAGGTCATGATCCCAGGGTCCTGGGATCAAGTCCCACATCAGGCTCCCTCTCCTCGCTGCTCCTGCTCTATCACTGTCTCTCTCAAATAAATAAATAAAATCTTTAAAAAATATACGATTCCCAAGAATTTCTAGATTTTTTTCTGTCTCCCTGAGCCTACATACAGTCTAGGTTTATTTGACTAAGAGCTGCAAACAAAACTATTACTCCTCAGTTTGAGGATTGCATTGCTTTCCAGTTGCTGTTCTGGTTTCAGAACTACCTCTAATTTATTTTATCTCTAATCAAACTTTCTTCTTCAAAATGTCTGTGATTTTCAGTGACCCGTGATGACTTCTGTGTTATATCTGTGCATCTTGGGGAAACATTCCATTTTCCTCATAGATTCACTCAGCTTTTTCACCTTTAGATGAACGAGTCAAGTCTCCATAAACAGAACAGCCCCTCAGCGCTTATTATAAGTATGCCATCTGAAACCCTTTGTCCCTAGGTATTTAAAACAGTGTACAAACTCTCATGCTTCCACATGTTTGCGTAATGGCATTTGTGTCCGAATTATGAAACACGTTAAATGTAAGTCACAATACCCACCCCAGATTCCATCATAATACCATCACCACAAGGAATGCTGACTGCATCTACTTGGGGTGCTACACTGTGTAAGAAGACCTCATTTCCTCAGTTCTGCTTAATATTGCAGGTTATTTCTGTTCACCTATAATTATAAGAAGAGTTCCTTTCCTTAGATGTGTGGACCTATCACTGCTCTTCTAAATAGTCTAGTCTGACTAGAGGAGAGGAGTTATACCCCCCTTTTCTCTTACTGGCTCTGCAATAAAGAGAAAGCCTTTGGTGATTCTCCAGCCCACCACGTTCTGTGTAGTCCCCCAGAGGCCTAACACTTTGAGCAAATTTCCCTCTTCGTGGGTAAATGTGTCAAAGAACATATTGTGTTGTAGGTATTTTGTGCTCAAATCCTTCCTCCATTTCTGTCATTTTTCAGATGCTGGGTTTTGCTTCACAGATTACAATACTGATGCTAGAGTCCTAAGCAGTAAAGAATTAGGAATGAGAATCATCTCTGCGTATAAAGTCTGTGGTTACGACATCTGACCTAGTTCCCTTGTCAAAGGACTTGCTCTCCTGGACAGGTGACTCTTCTGGTTAAACATAAGGTACATGCTAAGGAAAGCTTTGTAATCAGATAATGGCCTGGTTTTGATTTCATCAAATTATCTTTTAATTTATTTTTCACTTAAAAGCTGATAGCTATTCTCTCTTATTTATGTTCTTATATGTAGATTCTGATCTGGGCTTTAAATACTGTATATCACAAGACAGTTCCTATGAAAATCACA